ACTGTGCACTTTACGGAAGCCATGATGATGCTTCGCTGGGGTCAAGTGGTTTGTGAAGTACGGGAGTGGCAAGGCCTCGAGTGTCTTCGCTACCGGGGAAAGGAGTGTTATCGGACGATAAGAATCTCCTATGTTGGCGGGTTTCCCCGGTTTGAGCAGTGGGACCACTCTCGCCACCTTCCAGATGTCTGGGATGATGAGAGTGGCCATGGACAAGTTGAGGACCTCCGTTAGGTACGCTACCCCCGCAGGACCCAAATTGTTCAGCATCAGCATGCATATTCCGTCGGGACCCATGGCTTTGGAGGCTTTCGCCTTCCCGATGGCCACCTGAACTTCACCGCAAGTGAAAGCAAGGGGGGCACAAGTTGTTGGCAGTTTGTGCAGCCATCTGGTCACTCGGCGCTTGGCTTTGTCCCCCGGTGGATGCAGTATGAACTGCCGGCTAAAATAGCTCGCGCATCGCTCCGGGCCCGACGAAGCATGGTCGCTGAAAGAAATTTCGACTCTGTCGTCGTGCTTCGTCGGATTGGACAGTGACCTCACGGTTGACCAAAGCTTACTCACACCAGAGGCGAAGTTACAGGTTTTCAAATGCTCCCCCCACTTCCGCTTATGTTCGTTTACTAGTTGCCGAATCTCCGCGTTGAGATCCCTAATACGGGGATCTCCGGGATCGGCTTGACGAAGGCTGTCGCGCTCATCGGCTTGAACAGCCGCTTCGGCAGGGAAGTTTGGATGTGGGTCCGTTATACATCCTGCCGGTATGAAGCGAGCTGCAGTAGCAGTGACAGCCCTGCGGAACTTACGTTCACCGAGATGGACGTCGGTTGGTGTGGGAAGCGCAGTGAAGGTGTTTTCAGTAAACTCCGCGTAACCTTTCCAATCAGCTTTAGAGAGGTTGATGTAGGTCCGGTGTTTAGCGGAGGCAAAGTCGGTTGGTTTATCTATCGAGATGACTATGGGTAGATGGTCTGATGCTAAAGTCAGCATAGGTCGCCATGTTATGCTGTTTATCAGACCAGCGCTGACTATGGTGATGTCTGGCGAGCTGCTGCAGTTACCCATAATCCTGGTGGGTGCGTCGTCATTCATTGTGCAGAATGTCGAATCGTCTATCTGCTCAGCCAATTCTGTTTACCTACGATCGTTTGACAGGCTTGAATGCCAAAGATCGTGATGCGCATTAAAATCACCTACTGCCATACGGTTTTCACCTCTGAGGAGCGCACCTATATCAGGGTGATATCCTGCCGGGCAGCAGGTGACAGGGGGTATGTATATGTTAAATATTTCGAGCTCGACATCGCCTGACCGGATAGCAATGCCCTGACATTCTAGGGTGGTATCCCTGCGGTCGATGTCCGCTTCGATAAGACGATACTGCACGGTGTGGTGCGTGATGAACGCTAAGCCACCACCATTATCTCGCTCGCGATCTCGACGGTGCACGTTGTACCCGGCACAATTCAACAATGTTGAATTGCTATGCAACTTCGTCTCTTGGACCGCAGCTATCAATATACCATGCCGACACATAAAGACGGCTATCTCCTCAATCTTGCTCTGTAGCCCGTTGCAGTTAAATTGAAGGAGCTTCATGTGGTTCGGGAGACGTGTTGTTATGTGGGGTGTAAGGGATGTGTGTGTTCTTACTGCCGTTGGCTGTGTGCGCTGCTGTGATGGTTGCCGCCCTGTGGTGGTGGCGGGAGGCGTCGCAGTTGGGGTCTGCGACCGAGCAGCGCAACACGGGCCCTCGAAGTTCCTCCTCCAGTCTCGCGTGGTACCAGCCAAGGCAGATGTTGCACTTGACTGATGTCACATTACGGAATATCCTGGTCTGACATACCGTGCAGATTGTAGGAGGAACCAGGAGTTGTTGGCGGCGGCGTGTGGGTGGTGGTGCGGCTGTGTGTGTTCTATGGTCTGTCTGTGGTATGGTCTGTGGTGTTATTATGTTGTTGTGCTGTGGTGACTGTGTGAGGCTGCTCTGGTGGACTGAGGTTTGCCGTGGAGGCTGCTCTGTTTGAGCAGCAGGGGGCCACATACGACGTGGTCCACTGCCGATGTGTCCGTAGTCCTGAGCAGACTCTGAGGTGACACCACCCCTCGCAAGCATTGCACTTGACAGAGGTGGAGTTGTGGTGTAGTCGTCTCTGGCATACACAGCAGGTGTAGGTTTCTGGCCCTGGGTTTGACTCGATGCCAGCCCTGAGTAGGAGAAAACGTAGCGAATGTAGCCCTATGGTCGAACAACTTCTGAGATACTTCGCCGACCTAAACGGGGTTAGATCGCCGAAACAACAGCCCTTGGTCGGGTAAAACCCGAGTCATTCCGGTACGTAGAATCGGCTGTCGTGGGAATGACTTCTACCGCTTAGACTTTGTTGCTTTTTCAATTTTTCCTAATAAACAATCGTGGTACAAGGCTCAATAAAAATATTAAAAATAAAATGTTAACAAGCCACAATAACATTGACAAGTAACATAATACTTTAAAAAGCCAGCGTACTTGTTTTTAACAATGTTTTGGTACATAAATAAAATATAGTTCATAAAAAATAAAAGTGTTATTCATTTTAACATGAGTGTACACATCATTGTACATAGAAGCCAATAAATTATTTTGTATATATGACATTTTTGAGTAGCAATAATGAGATCATTTCCATCTTCAGAGTTTAAATAGTCAAAGAATTCTATACATTTCATTTTAATATTACTTCTAATATGAAGTTCACTTTAAATAATTTTTATCTGAAGCCAGTTTCTCTCTTTGCTCCAGGAAGCAAACCTCATACTTAGATCCTCTCAGTTGCTTCGTTTCAGTGTGGTATTGAAAAAAAACTACATATTTCTCAAACTGTGGAAAAGTACCACTAGTTAAGAACTTCATCTATAATTCCTCATGGCTTAAATTAATTTTTTCAACTACGGAAAAACTTTGAAAGACTAAGAATACGCTAAAAAGAGTATATAACTGTATATCTTGTATGCAAAACTCTTTTACAATGTCAGTAAATTGTGAAAAAATAGTTTTAAGTAATAGGCGAAAGCCATTCGAATATTCAAATTTGTTGTTATTAAACTGAGTTATTTTCGAGATAAGTAGCAACACGTCTGCCTTCTTTTTAAATAATTTAAGCTCCATCATACTGGTACGGCGATATGCCCATAAAACGATTGAACTTTTTGTTGCATTAATTTCTTGGACATATGAAACATTATCTAAAACATATCAACTATAATTAAATTATTTTCTTCTTACTTTTTACAGTACAGTTCAAAGAAGTTCCAACGTTATGTAAAAACCTTAAGAAAATCCTAAAGTGTTTTGTTTGAATTAAAAGTTCAGTACAAATCAGTACAAATTTTGAAAAATCAGGACATAGCGTACTGATTGAAGAAATGCATAAAATCAGTTCAAGAGTTGAAAAATCAGTACTGTACTGATAAAATCAGTACGTCTGGTAACCGTACCTTAAGACTATTGTAACTTTAGCGAGTAAGACCCGTTGGTTGTAAAACGCTATGCGCCATTTTCAAAAGAATAAAGAAGAACATTCGAATTTGGACACCGAGACCGACGGCCGCGTTTGATTTGTTATTTTGCCACCTGATATATTACATTATCAAGCTTGTTAATTGTATGATGAAATCTCCAAAACCGTAAATTTTGAAATGCTTCCCTTATTATTAATTAAAAGTGCGATATGAAGTCGTTGCTTGAGTTAATCTGCTCTTTTGCCAGAGTGCCAGGCCACAGGCTATAAGCTGAAAGTAAAAATATTTTCACTAAACATTCAAAAACTATAGCTCATACAATTTTTGGAACATCATAAGTAAGCACCTTACGAGGTAATCGATGTTTTCTTCAAATTTTTAGTACCAAAATCGTCATCATGACCAATGTCAATTTAATGAAATGTTTCTGTGTTCCATTAACATTTGTCGTGGATTTTTTACTATCAATTTTAGTGAAGAAAAAAATTGTTTACCAGGTTGAAGAAATTACTATTCGATTGTTAATTTTACTGGATCATTATTTCAATTCACTACCACTATTGTATAGTGAAGTTGACATATTGCAATTCACCACTAAACATCGACGGTGGTAGTGAAAAAGGTTACACTATCACAAGCTATTAATGAAAACTGAAAGTTTAGTCCACTATCAACTCTGATATTCACATATGTATGTATATAATTAAAAATTTTATTTTGAAATAATATATGTATATATGTATTTAAATACATCTCCTTTACAAATTCCAAAATTAGATGAACATTCAGCAACATCAACAGTTTCAAAAAAACATGCGGAACTCAGAATCGGTAACATCTTTTAATTCGAGCGGCACAAGCATAATAAGGAAAACTTTGCCAAGCACAGGAGCTTCTGTGCCAACTACAACAAGTACAGCAACCAGCGATGGGACTTCACCTGGATTATTCACAAGATATAGACCGTTTTTAAAAAAAGACAAGGCCTTAATTAAAAAGGTCTTAGCCGGCATTAAAACTAAAAGACCAGACCATGTACAAACCGCATTACTACGTCGTCATCTACTTGAACTTACACAAAGTTTTATGATACCACTGGAACGTTATATAGCGTCATTAATGCCATTGCAAAAAGATATAAGTCCTTTCAAGTCAGCGCCGAATGCAAACACTTTTAAATTAGAAGATTTCTTGGCCACTATTGAACAGTCAGGACCACATCTAACATCACCTTTGAAGGGCGATTGGAAGGGTTTGTATCGGCGATTTTTCAACTCAGCTAATTTTCGTGGTTGGTACGATACCAGGCATCGAGAGCTACAGTTAACCTTACAGGATCTGCAACTTCAGGCGCTGTCTGTGGCTAACCTTGAGCAATGGGCGCAAGATAAGCAGGAAGTAGAAATTATTGATATGATATTAAAATTAAAACAAAAATTGAATCTCTACACTAATACTAGTAACAATAGCTCAACACAAGAGCAAATACGTGCTCAGATCACTTGTATGAAGGATTTACTGCCTAATGATTTAAAAAATTTAGTTAATATTTGATATGTAAGTGAAATGAAATCTTGAACTAACTACGACAATTGTGCAGATTTGTTTATTTTGAACGAAACAGAAGACATTAGAAGATTATAAAACAAATTTTTTACATTAGTGGAATTCGCGCTTCTATGTATTCGTTGTATCTTGCGTAAATGTAACAGAATGCGCGTGTGATCTGTTGTTGCTGGTGGTACAATAAATACACGTGCAACAACAATCACACGCTCATNTTAAAACAAATTTTTTACATTAGTGGAATTCGCGCTTCTATGTATTCGTTGTATCTTGCGTAAATGTAACAGAATGTTGCTGGTGGTACAATAAATACACGTGCAACAACAATCACACGCTCATCCAGTTACTGTTGTGATTCTGCCTGTCCTGGGCGGAAGCTGTGGCACGGCAGGCATGGTGGTAGCCCAGCCGGAGCTCGTCGGTCTGTGGGTCAGGTTCTTGCCACTAACTCACGCCCGTAGTCACAAACAAAATTTGCATGCGTTTGTGTGGCATAACAAAAAAAGGGAGATAGATGCTGCGGTAGATCCGTCGTGTCAGGGGAGCCACCATCTGCTTACGTAATATAAGCAGCCTTGGGGCAAATTGGCAGGGATGGACGATCGGCTTCGTTGGTGCCACTTAGTAAATATGCAGACAGGACAGTTTGACTGACGCACTGATGTCAGGATAGGGGACTTCGCCTTCGCGTCTGGAGCCATGGTGGAGTCCAAAACTGCTTATTTTACGTAAGCAGATGGGGTGGGATGGCTCCCCTGACAGGACGGATCTACCACTGCATCTATTTCCCTTTTTTTGTTATGCCACACAAAGGCATGCAAATTTTGTTTGTGACTGCGGGCGTGAGTTAGTGGCAAGAACCTGACCCGCAGACCGACGAGCTCCGGCTGGGCTACCACCATGCCTGCCGTGCCACAGCTTCCGCCCAGGACAGGCAGAATCACAATATTACACTTACGCAGGATACATCAAATACACAGAATCGCGAATTCCGCTATTGTGAATAGAATTCGGTAATTTTTTTATTTTATCTGAAATGTTGATACTTCTCTCAATTTGGGTACGGTTTAGTTATTTGTACAACGATTTTGGGTTGCTGTGCCCAAACGCGTGACCCGAATCAAAAAACTTTGACACACTTCTAGACAAGATCTACACTTTGTTTAAAAAAATTTACTATATCTATGTACTAATTTATTAATAATTTCGGTTTGAATTATGGTATTTTTTGCGAATTTCTAAAATATGCGTACACTGATGACTCCTATTCTGCCTTAAAGCAGCCACTTTAATCTATTAATTTTTACCTCGGTTTTATTAGCTTGGGATGTAACTATGTAATAATGATGCGCCTAAAAGATGGAGCAGTTTCCATTACCAAGTTATATACCTAATGACAGCACGAATGGGAAATGATTTTAACTTCCATTTTAAAGGTACCTGATGACAGTACGGATAAAAATTCCAACGATTGATTTCGCATGTTATTCTATTCATTATATGTATACATAATAGTTTTAAAATGAATTGAATTTATGACTAAAAAGATAAAAATAAAATTATAGTTTAAAAAACTAAAAACACTGTTTATTACAATGTGAATTAAAAAGTAGAAAATACTTTACCTAATACCTTTACTTGTTTTAATTAAACTTTTAAGACCAACCTAAAATAGTGTTAAAGTAATTAGAGTAAGTAAGTAAAACAATAAAATTAAGTTTACCGAAAAACAAAGCGTGGGGTGCTTCTTAGATTTCATAGACCTGCTATTGACAATATTCAGTATTATTAAACTGTAAATGAAAAGTTCAAAACAATATCAAATCAAGCACCCCCCGTTTTGTTTTCCGGTAAAATTATTTTTACAGTCAATTACTTGAATACTATTTTAGGTTGGTTTTAAAAATTTAATTAAACCAAGTAAAGGAATTTCCTATTCCTCTTAAAGGAAATCTTATTTCTATAAATTATTTTCTACTTTTTAGTTCACATTGTAATAAAATAGATTTTTTAGTTTTTTTTAACTATAATTTAACATTTACTTTCACTTTACACATTACACTATTAGTTATTAGTTGTTTTATTCCTTTAGTTTAAACTAATTCATTGCAAATTATTAATTAAAATTGCTATGAAAATCACCCGTGCGCAAAATATCCACGAAGGATAAGAAATGTGTTCTCTGCAAAAGATGTTCAGACCCTCTTCTTCGGCAACACAGAAAGGAGAATTCTACTTAAAGGGGGTTATAATCAGGCCTGGGCGACGCCGACTGCGCAGTACCCTCGGGGAAGCGTCGCGTGTTCGTATACACGAAGTTGAAGGCGAAGACAACACCTGTCATCTGTGGTCATATTGTTTTAAATTTTAATCGTGTTTAAGTAGATTATTAACTTCTGTTAACCCGTTCCATCTGGATTTTAAGCTTTCATAAACGTAAGCAGCATCGAATACTTGGTTCCGGCTGTACAGCATCGAGAAACTGCAAGTAAGTGGAAAAGGCGCTCCAATTGCATCAATTTGCAAAACAAATAAGGCTTCGAGCGGTATACCAACAACTCTGCCTTACACGCTCACAAGCTTTTTTTCGGAAAAGGTTCGTGACTTTGCTAATATCTGCTAAGCTTCGAGTACAGCGCCACCTGTAGGCCCGAATCATAACTCACCAATTCATAAAACTGTGTTGCCAGCATACGTTTTCTACGATGTTCTCAAATCATTTCAATTAGAATGGCAGCTGGAGCTGGCAAGCGAGGCCGCGAAAATAACCCCACGGAACTGGAACCTGCGAAAACTCCGAGGATATCTGTGTCTTCACCGAATTTACTGCGAAACATGGACCAACGTCTCGCGAAATTAAATGACCAGCTCGCAAAACAAATTCAGGAATCCGAGCATAGAATTATCGAGCTTTTCGGCAAAAAGTTCGAAGAGATATTCTACGGTATCATGGATGACCTGAACGCTGTAAATGATAGAGTCACACGCGGCGTTCGGTCATATTGGTGTTCTCGAAGACGAGCTTGCTGCTTTAAAAACACAAGTTTCCAGACAAGAAAGTATCATTCCCGCTTGCTCGTGTAACGGGGATGCCGCATGAGGAAGGTGAAAACTTGCAAAGCATTTTCCATTACCTCTGCTTTTCATTGGACACTCAACCACCTCCCATTAAAAGCATTTATCGGACTAGGAAAACTCCTCAACTGGCCCTGCCATAATACTGCCACAGACCAGAACGGTTTGCTTAAAACCATATCAAATTTTAGACGTACAAACAAGAAACCGCCGCAGCTTACACTCGTGGGTATTAGCTCGGACGCCCCCTTCTATGTTAATGAGTCTTTGAGTAAACATAACCACGAAATATTTAAATCTGCTTTCCATCTGAGAAAGCGGAAAAAAGTTGTCGCCGTTTTTACAAAACGGGGGATGGTCCACATCAAACGGTTGGGCAGTGATAGGCCGCAAGCTATATATACCATGGGCGACCTTTGCAATCTAGAAAACACCAGTCGTGCCGCCGTAATGGAACATTCCTTTCATGACGCCAGAGCCGAAGAACATAGCAGCATATCAACGCAACAAACTTCAACTTGAATGCGGAATTTGTATGCTGTCACTAACTAATTTGTGTTTTATATTTTTAAATATTGTCTTCGTCTTTTGTCACGATCTTTCTTTTGCCTTTTACTTACACAAATCTTGTAAATGTTACGGGTTTCCTTCATTGCTTAACTTTTTAGAACCTAGATGCAGTGCCATAATTAACTTACACACGTTTTATAATGTCGCACTTAGCCTTTAAGCGTACGAGTTCCAAAGACTGTTTATACAGCATGCTGCGTATTATTAGCAAGCGTGCTACAGGCTTTAAGATAGTACATTTGAATGCGCAAAGTTTGTTTAAAAAACTCGACGAATTTATATATCTCATCGAAAATTCAGATATTCATGTTGTGTGTATATCCGAAACGTGGTTTTCCTCGCACCACAACAATAATATTCTGCGTGTAAATGGTTATCAACTTTTTAGAGCTGATAGGCATGGTCATGGTGGAGGTGTAGCAATATATGTAAAAAATGGTCTGTCTTGCAAACTAAATTGTGTATCGTCTTGTGGTGCTTTGGTCGAATATGTGTTCGTTGACGTATGTTTATTTATTTATTTATTCATGCAATAGTAATCTAGCTCAATAAAGTTGCTTACAGACTACATAGAGATAAAATATATCATACATTAAATCTAGCTTCATTTAACAATAGTTTGAAAGCGGGCTTAGACATAGAAAAATCTATGGCTAAAGAACTTGAGAGAACATTGAATTCTTTCAAAGCTCTAAAGATTGGAGCGTTAGAAGCATAGAGAGTACGGATACGTTCATTATAAAAAATATCAGTATTACGAAGGGTTCTGTTAGGAATATGGAAGCAAATGCATTCGAGTAAATACGGTGAATCAATCACACCATTAATTATGTGAAAGACAAAGGTGAGCGAGAGAATTGTTCTCCTGCATTTAAGAGATTTCAAATTTACTAGTGCACATCTAGCTCTATAAGGCGGAATTGGGTCGTCGAAATTCAATGATCGGAGCGCAAAGCGCAAAAACGTTTTTTCAACCCGCTCGAGCCTATTAATGTGGCTCTCATAATAAGGTATCCAAATAAAGCAAGCATATTCCAGCTTGGAGCGTACAAGCGACGTGAACAACAGCTTTAACGTGTAGGGATCCGTGAAATCAGAGCTAAAACGGCGAATAAAAGCAAGCACTGAGGACGATTTAGCAATGGTGTAATTTAGGTGACTATGAAATAAAAATTTCGAGTCAAAGACTACACCTAGGTCATTTAACTCGTTACTAGTGGATAGTCGAGTACCATCAATATAGTATGAAGTAGGGGTTATACAATGAAATTTGGAGAATGATAGGTGGAAACATTTGCTTATATTTAGCTGTAAGCCGTTGGTACGACACCAAGCTGAGACATTTTCCAAGTCAAACTGAATCTTGACGGAATCAGAGGAG